TGTATCGTTTAATTATGCTCAAAGAACAACCGAACGCCGGAGATACCCAGGCATCTAGGTCTTTTGTAGCACAGAACTCCCCGACTGTCCATATGTAGTGAATCCAATGTTGTTGCTATCAGGCATGATGATTCTGCGTTGGACCTTGCATATGGTCTTAGATCTATGCGACTGAGGAGTCCCCGACTGGGACGAAACAGTCATTCACTATTCTGTCTCTCAGTGTTTCTCTAACTATTATCAATTCATAATTTAATAATGATAATCTACTAACTGATTCTATCAGCACTTGTGATTTGAGTAGGCTGCTTGGTTGTTGTTACCTTAGCAACTAACCGGTAATCAATAATTTTATTTTTGTGTGTTTATTTCTCTTTATGTTTCACATTTCTAATGAAGCAGAATTACACAATCGTCGTTTTTATTACTCAATTCTTCTTATGTCACATTGTCAACAATGGCAATCTCGTGGCCTCCGCACACACACTGTTCACTAACCTTTCAACAACCTTAAACATCAAAAAAGATGATTTTGGATGTAATTGGTTATGTGTGTTAATGGCTTCCTCGGTATTGTTGTGTGTGTGTGTGTATGTGTGCATGAGTGCTTGACAGTGTTACACAATTTTGTGACATAATATTTAATTTGGATATAATCTACACGTGGAAAGAAATGCGAATGACACACGTGCACATATCATATACACATATGCACACACATACACAAGTATGCATAAACAAATTTCTGTCATAAAATCAGACTTAAATTGCTTCTGAGATCAAGATAATAAGACTAGAGGGTATTATCATACGTGTCTTACGCACACATGCACAACACACATTCGCATGCATGTCTATATGCATTCCTCTGCGTGTGTGTTTGTGTGTATGTGTATGTGTCTGTCTTCATACTAAATGAATGGCATGACAGATGACAAGATGAAAAGACAAGACATGGGAGTCATTGTGTGGATGAGTGGGTGGGGTAAAAGCTTGAAATTTTGAACAGAACAGAAATTGAAGTAAAAATAACATAAATACAGACAGACACTTATACAAATAACATGCTAGAAAGATGATGACGTCAGCAGGATACAATAAAAACTTTGTTTTAAGCAAATCCTTTAATACAGCTACTACTTTTCACTGACTGATTGACCTTATTCATACTTTTGAACAAAAATTGACTTTGTTATTGTATTGTTTGTTATACATCAAAGAAGTTTTGAAATATATACAAAATTCATTCTCAATTGTAACTTTTGTTCTAACAAACGCGTTACCATGGTAGTTAATAATGATTTTATTACTTATTGCTTTTATAAAGCCAAAGTGATTAGCCTACAAGGCTGCTTAAATAAGAGGGAATACTGAGAGACACATACAATCCCCCCACACACACACGCATCCAAATCATCAATACATCTATATGTGAGTTTCTAGCCGGATTCCCCGAAGGTCGTCAGGGAGTAGAGTATACCTTCAAGATCGAGAAAACTGATGCCTAGTCAAAAGCTGGATTTGTGCCGCAATCGCATATGTTCTACTACTAAGCCAGGAGGGAGGGGTGGGGTATTATTATCATCATTTTTGGTAACCTTTAAGCGTTGAAGAGATTCTGTTACTAGTCGTATATACAAGATCTGTTGTCTTAGGTTTCCTCCTCCTTGATTGTTTCTACAGTTCTAGAAGATTGCAGAAACTGATATTCCACAATTATAAATTCTCAAAGTCGTCCACACATCGACCAAAAATGCGAAGGGGGTTGAGTTACTAATGCAGCTGTCTGCCACTTAGTGTTTAGCACAGAATGCAGTTACTAAATGTCGCCACAAAGCCAAGAGATACACCACCCTGGGGAAAATCATTTGCCTCAGTAGGTGCAGACAGATCCCGGTTGATGAGTGCCAGGAAACCCAGGACATATTACATACAAAGATTGCCATATTCCATTGGGTGGTTTCTGTAGAATTGATTGATCTCGAAGTGATTTTAACTACACAGTTGAAAATACACTGAAAACATGGGAGGACTGGATAGCTGTTTCGTCCTTGGATGGGACTCCTCAGGAGTATGCACCCACGACCCCGTTACACTCAGTACCTTCAGCTTACATGCCGATCACGTTAACCATTCAATCACGGAAGTAGGAAACTATGTGCTCTTGAACTCAGACCGAATGACTGAATGCTTAGTACGTTCGCTGTGAAAGCCGAAGGTCCTGAGTTTGATCCCTTGTGTGCTGAGGTTGTGGGTGTGCACTGCTGAGGAGCCCTATCCTAGGACGAAAAAATCATCCAGTTCTCTCAGATTTTCAGTGGGTTCTCTAAGTACTATCAGTCTGTGATGGATAGGAACATTGAAAACAAAATCCCCACAAACGTTAAATTACAAACAGATCAGACAAGTCCCTGAACTGGCAAAAGATTCTGTATATTGGCGTTCGTTGTGGTCCTCCAGTCTACTTCACTGCTGTTCTCGAATACCTGACAGCAGAAGTGCTGGAATCGCCTGGCAGTGCTACTCATGATAACAAGAAGATGCATGTCATCCATAGTCACTTGCTGTTGGTCGTCTATAATGATGAGGAGATGAACAAACTACTCGGAGGTACTACTAATGTACACGGATGGTACATTCATCATCTACGATGAGAAAATAGATCTTGATGCTACTTTTCTTCAATTCAATGATGCTCGTCTCCCAATCAGTTTCATGATGAGAGTTGAGAACAACTCAAAACTTCATTTTCTTGATATTTCTTTGAGCATGAGGCCTGATAACTCCTTAAAGAGATCATTCTATGGGATTATCAACTTGAAGCGGCTACCACTGAGTAGAAAAAGGAGCCGAATTCTGAGTAATGACCAACTTCTATTGAAAATTTTACAATGGGGTCACTAGACTAGGCGGTTCATCCTCTTATCGACACGGGACATGAAGTCGACAGGAAGCTGAATTCGAATCTTCTGGAATTCGCTGAGGCTGTTGGAATCAGACAACTGTGACCGTAATTATATACTTAAGAAAGAATCAGCCATTAGTTTTCTTCCCCCCCCTGATAACCGAAACTTTTTACCATCCTTCTTATTCGATGACATCATCATTTGACCAATCCTTTTTCTATTTGCACTAAAACTCAAATAATCAATGGAATTCGGTCAGCAATCAGGGCTAGACAACATGGAATTGATTACTCTTTCCAGTGACCAGTCAATGTATCTAATCGCGGTCTGAATAACCTATCGGTAACGTTACTGGATTCAACACTGAATGATGCGGGTTAGGATCTTGAGTAGGACATCCATTTGGTTCAGGTCACCTTGCTGACGAGTACCAACAACCAGGAAGAAATGTAGGCCGAGGACGGCTTCCTGTTGATTTCCTTTACAACCAACCATCATGTCCAAATGTATATTCGAGTACTATACTGCTTCGCTGTCCATAGGAGAACGCAAGTCAACCCACAGTTTCATCTTGAACGCTTCGGTCAACTCTCGACTTGTCACATTTACTCAATCTTCTTCCAGAATCCTATACAAACTCAAGAGAAACGGCTCAAAAGAAGTGGGGACTCATTACTTATGTACAGCAGATGCGTTGGCAATTCGGCAATTAAAGCCGAACCTCTACATTTAGAAGAGGCGTGTCCATTCTCTTACTTTGCCCTGGTCATAATCCTTCCTTGAGTTTCTTTATTCCTTCAATATTCATCTTACTTTTACTGACTGATTATTTGTTATGGTTTCTATTTTGTAGTTTACTATCCTAAGTTTCTAAATGTTGGTTCTGGTTTCGCCTTAAACTTCAATCCTTGATGGGGTCATGAATGCGTACTGCTGAGGAGTCCTATACTAGGACAATATAACTGCCTAAAGCTCCCAGATTTCCAATGTTTCTTCGATTTATGTCCGTTCATGATGCAGACCAACCTGAAATCAATCAATAAATCCTCCACAAGACCCCGGAAATGAATTTACCTGGTGATCATTCTTGATTCCTGAAGCTGTGGTGAGAGATCATGACCCTTGGGGTGAACGAAGTCGTATATGAAGACAGCTACTCAACGATGATATTCAAACGAAGTCGCGCTACGTCGTAAACTGACAGGAATAGGAAATATGGACTGTTGGACTCAGGTCTAGTGGCTCAGTGGTGACATGTTGGCTACGGAGCTTAGACGTTCTGGGTCCGAGTCCTGGTGGGGTCGCAAGTGCACACTGTTAACCGGTCCTATGCTAGGGCGAAGCAGCCGTTCATTGGGCCCATGTTCTCAAAGTTTCTCCAGCTACTGCTATTTTTCAGCCTATCAGTCATCACTGCGGTCGACTGCATCATTCCCTTACATACCCTATGATTACGAAATCGCCTCCTTCTAACTCTAGCAACGACTCACTGTTCCCCACCACAACATTCCGTTATTTCAAGTTAGCCTAACCCTTGGACTTCGATTCTTGTCATTCGTTGATGGATAGCACGCATACCATGAATTTGAACCTGTATTGATCAATATCACTTCTGAAATGAATCGATTGTATTCGATAATGGATAACAGAGCTGTGATTTATTCCTTTAAGGAGTTGGATTTTAACCAGCGGGTCCCGGGTTCGAACACCACTCCTCATGAGCTAGGCGTAGCTTACTGCCTACCACATGAATATGCACAGGTAACTGAGTGGGTTTCGATTTCGAGAATCATTGAGAGTTCAAATGTACTAGGCGGTTCTTTCGGCTTAGTCCGAGACTCTTCGACAGCACACATTCACAACTGATCAGCTTACCCTTGGGTTCCAACCATCCAGTAGTTGAGTGGTAACGGGCTCTCCGCAGGACATCATGGTCCTGGACACGATCTCTTATGAGGTTATGGGTGTGAACTGCTGACGAGTGCCAAACTAAGACGAAATATCGGTCTTGTGTTCTGAAGCTTTCAATGCTTCTCAAACTTATTTCAATCCCCCAACAAACTGCTATTATTGATCTCCTGTAGGCTTAAATATACACAATTCAAACATGTATGCACTTTTTTTAAAATAAAAACAAATCAATAACCGGGATTTAAAATTTAAAATGTCTCTACATATAATAATAACCAATCACAGAGCAGAATTAATTTGTGTATTTTTTTTGGTGTGGAATGGAGTAAGTGTTGAAATGAGGCTAAAAATCAATAAGTTGACAGACTGAATGCACCGGTTGTTAAAATTATCTTCTTTTTTAAAAAAAAAGAGGCGAAAAGTGACATTTCTTTGCTCAAAAAAAAATCGATTTGTAAAGGAAGTTTTCAAAAAAGGAACTGTATGCACTAGACAGGATCACTGGTATGTGTGTGTGTGTGAGAGAGAGAGTTATCGATCAAGAAAAGGGGGGTGATAATTTCATTATATTAATCATCGCATCCTTCTGATGGTAACCAATAGGAAATATTCATAGATTCGCTTATATTATCAATACTGTTAGTAGAAAAATCGGTTAAATTAGTAAATGGTATATTTTTCACCGGTTGATAAGTTTCTTGTGTTTCATCAAAATTATACGTTTGACAATTCGATGAAATGATATGACCAGTACCAACAATACTACTACTACTACTAGTAGTAGTAGTAGTGGTACAACTTTCACTGGTATTACGAATTGAATACCTTTCAACAGTTTCATCAAAATTCTTTTGAAGGTTTTGTATATTCTCATTTCTTCTACAACCATCCAATTCATTTTCATATATGTCAAGGAATATCGATTTTGGTGGTATAATTTGCTCTGACCAATCGAATGTATTCAATGAATTTGGTGGATACAATTGAAAACTGAACATTTCTTCCATACCTAATTGATTATCATTACTTGATTTCATTAAAATTCGATGACTACCTGATGAATGACTTAGACAATCACAATAATTCATCCGTATAGGTGTTGATTGATTCACATTTGAATTAGTAAAAAAATCAATAGAATTTAAAGATTTTTCATTTCTTTGTTCATGCATTATTATTGATTGTATATTTTCAGTTTGATCAATAATTTGATATCTTGTACAATTATTGATATATTGTTCCTGTTGATGATGTCGTTGATCACCATGATGATGTTCATCAAACTGATGGATATTATCAATATTCATATTGTTGAAAATTTCTCTTGATGAAATGTCATCATTCATAGAATTGTTTATCAAATAAGGTGTTGATGGATAATAGACATTTTCTACTTGATTACTAAGTGATGTCCATAGATTATAGTCCATTTCTTCGGGGTTATTCACCTTCGTAAATTGTTTTTCATCAATGTATGCCATCGAGTGTTGAGGAACAATAACTCCGGTAGCAATAGAAGTAGATAATGAGGGACAATAAAATGAAGTATTTTCCACCGGTGACCAATTCCACTCCCATTCAATTGATTTTTGTAGTGACAACGTTGTTGACAGTTCAGAGGATCCAGAACAACCAGAAGAGGATGAACAGGATGAGGATGTCAATGAGTTCGTACAGGATGTCAATTCAACTTCACTAGACATTATTGTTGGATTGATTATTGACCGATTGTATTCATCAGAGAAGCGGTGGACAAGATTGTCTACCATAACATTGCTGATATCATTCTTTATAGAATATGCTTGTGTATAATTCATCTCCTGTTTAGTATTTGTGGTGTTTTGTGAATAAGAAATATGCGGATATTCATTCGATGATGGACAACACTGACCTCTTTGAAGAGGATTCGTCACAATATAATCACATAGTGAAGTGGATAACGATGAAGAACACACCGAAGATGATGATGTTGAAGCAGTTGAACAACAGGCAGACAATTGACACGGTGATAAAGACCAATTCGGAGAACTAGTCATCACACCGGTGTTATACACATCATTTGTTGTATTCGTCATTATGGATGTCACGTAAGCGCCGAATGTGTTTACATTCATCGGTTTATAACCTTCCATGTCGTGTTGTAAACAACTCCAGTGTGTGTTTGAATTTTCACAGTTTGTTGTCATCGGCATTGGGGCCACTATTGGTGGCGTTATATGAACCGAATCAAGAATATGAGTATGATTACGCATTCTGTCTTGCCTGCCATACTCACTATCATCATTATTATTATTATTATTATCAACAATCAATTGGTTTGAATTCAAGTACACCTGAGCCCTAGTACTCCCACTATCCCATAAATAATCTTTAGATAAGGCACCATAACTTGGATCAACTTTTTGGCAGGTTGTTTCACAATATCGATTTTCACATAGAAAATGATAATTTCCTGGTATTCTTCTATCATCATTAAGGTCATCTTCTAATAAATTCTCAGTTTTAACCGTAATCTTTGAATTTGCTTGAATCGGTGTGTTAGTATTTTGATCTAAAGTTTTTAAAAATAAACAGTAATAGTTGAATTATTGAACATTGAACCGGTCAATAAATTTTGAATTCTATTGAACCAGTAACCCCATAGCTAATCAAAACAATAATAAAGATAATTAGTGTTCTGATAGCTGGTTCCGACTTCAAGTCTGCATGTTCATAAGGCCGAAGCAAGAAGAAATATACTTTGCAGACTCAATAATGCCCACTCTCCTGAATTCCGAAATAGCCTTATTAATCGATTTCAATAGAGAAGTCAGTGGAATATTGGTAATTGAGTGAGTGAGTGAGTGAGTGAGTGAGTGAGTGAGTGAGTGAGTGAGTCAGTCAGTCAGTCAGTGAGTCAGTCAGTCAGTCAGTCAGTCAGTCAGTCAGCACACTTCACAGTAGTATACAAAGAACAGGTGGATAGAAAAAGACTGATATCACAAAGTAGATAAAGTTGTGTGAGAGAAACAAGAATCTGGAGATAACGGTAATTGGGAATATTCAAGCTTTAGAAGATACCAAAGAGTGAATACATCTAGAGCATTGTGACCAATTTTCAGCCATGTCATTAAGAGTCAGTCCTCAACCACTCATTCCTATCGTCTAAGGGATCCCAAACAGGCAGTCCACATCGTTGTGTGGATGTACACCAGTCTCTCTCCCCACCTCACAATTCTCCACCCTAACGACTATTGAAGTAGCCAATTAGAATGCTGACATTTTTGAAAAAAACTAACCTGCCTTGTTACTGGGGTAGCCTATAAACTAACTTCTGTAATTGTTGCATACTGTTCGATTGTATTGAAAAATATTATCAACCATGGTAACTAGTCTTATGAAAAAAAGTTATGCAACTTGAAGTCATGGTTAGTTTAGCCATTATGAAACAATTTCCATTCATTCCATTAATGTGAGATGGAGGTACAGCAAGAACCTTGGAGCAAGGGATACACATTGTTTCTGTTCAAGTTATTAACAGCCATATGGACAATAAATATAGGTAGTAATTCTTTAAACAACAAAAACGACAGCTCACTTCTTTGATTCTTTTTCAATTCTGCAGTTGTAGTAATTGAATCGACTGAAGAAAATTTCAAGAAATCTTCAAACCGCTGATGTTTCTGTAAAAGAAAGTCAATAAAATGTGGATTTACACCGATGTACACAACTTTTTTTGATAACATATAAAAATAAATCAATAAACCTAGTGCTTACTGGTGACTAGCTTCGAGAGGTGACTTCCAAAGTTCCAATGAGAAGTCCTGACCGGTGGGGCAAACCTGATGGCTATGAAGATAAGTACTCAACGATGACATTGGTTGGCGGTCACACTATGTTGTGAACTGATGGAAGTTTAAAATATTGTCCACTGGATTCTGATCCAGTGACTCAATGGTAACGTGCTGGCCACAAAACCTGAAGGTTCTGGATTTGATCCTGGATTGGGTTTAGGATGCGCACTGCTGAGGAGTCCTATACTGGGACGAAATACCTGTGCAATGCTCCCAGGTTTTCAGTGTTCCCCCAACTGATGTCAGTCCATGATGAATACTGACTTTAAGTCGAAAATGATGGGAATCTGAATAATGTTTCAGTATGACTATGATGTACCTGCAATTCTCTGTTGTCATACTAGATTGAAATAACAGAGGTCGAACAATTTGATCCAGTAAAACAACGAAGAATTACACTCATATTAGCAAATAATTATAACTAATACCCATTATACAAGAGGTGGCTATTGTGCCTCAGTGGGTAACACTTTGGCGTTTGAAGTGATGGATACGAGGTTTCAATCTCAGAGGAAACAACATCACTCACTGAGGTGTAGGTATATCCAACTGACGAGTCCCAAATAAGACGAAACGCGCATCCTGAATTCCTTTGCTAGCCACAACCAAGTAAATTACAATGTCTGAAAATAATATTGCATAAGGCCTCGTGACTCAGTTCGTACAGTCTACGACCTGTAACCCGATGGTCTCTGGTTCGAGGCCGGCCGCGGTCCAAATTCTCATTTCGTCTTCAATTATCACCCAGTGCAAGACAATAGGATGAAAGAATAAAGTGGTAAGTAGGAGTGTTGGAAAAGAACAATTCACGAAGGTAATACACGTTTTAGTTGACGGATTTTTGTTGTTGGTCTACTGATTACCTTGAAGAGTGTGTTTCAGTCGACGAGCATAACCCCTGTATCGACGATGTGCTTAACAATAGCGCTACCACCTGTCAATGACAAGCTATTCCGTACGTGTTCAGAGATTCGTTTAACGTTCTTCCGACACATATGCTACTAGAAGTACAGGTAAACAAATCAATACAGTTGGAGATAACATGAGAAGGTCTGACACCGAAATTAGTTTCTCTGAACTCAATTCATCACCTATGAACACATCCCTTTTTTGGCACGGTTGTATCATTCAGTTTCTCATTGTTACAATTAAAGTGTTAATAAGATATTAATGTAACAGAGTATTTCGTACACTAGCCAGTTCATTTTCTTGGAACATAATCTGGTTACCTTTAAAAACAACAAAGTCATGACTAGGTTCTTGTATAAGCCATAGGACAGAAACTACTAAATGGCAAATATCGACTGGTCTCAGTAACCTTAATGAGTGATGTTGTTCCCACTGAGACTCGAACCCAGTGTCCAGTGCCCGCCACTGGGGGAAAATGGCCACCTCTAGTGCAACGAGTATCAGTTGTTGTATTGATACTTGTAATTTCCAGTTGCTATACAAGGCCGAATCGCTCAACCTCTTTAGGCAGATGGGCTCTTATGCGGTTACCTCAATGTCGCTGGACATTTATGACGTTATATTGATCTTGGTGACTAGCAGAGCAAGTCAGAACGGGCGTTTCGTCCTATTTGGGACTCGTCAGTTGGATATACCTACACCTCACTGTGTGATTTTCCTACTGAGACTCCAACCTCGTGCCCATGACTTCAAACGCCAGAGAGTTATTCACTAAGCAACTGCGGCACGATTACACATATTCTGTTGTTGATTACATGCGAAAATCAATAAACAGTGACATGATTACAAACTAGACAGCTCTAAGTTATAAGTGTAGCGCTCCGTAAATTCAGTCACGTGACTTATTGCTGTGCCTTAAGACTAGTTTATCAAATTTAGATACCCTACGCCGGATAGCCAAATCGATAATTATTGCGACGCTCCGCCATTTCTAACCCCATTCTATTTGGGTTGGAACGAGTGAGCATGACTAGGCGGGTAGTGTGGCGACGATGAATGAATAGTCATGTAGCATACGACAGCTGGGTGACCCGTCCACCACCATGGTTACTGAGGTGATGTTTAGATGTGGGTAACAGTTGAGACTCCTAAATCCGCTGATTGCATATTCGACCGGTTGTCCAGAGGCCATTGGTTCGAATCCCGCTACTAGTCTGTCTAATCTGGTCATTGCAGCTTCTTAATCTAGGCATTCGACTTTCAAATAGTAGGTCTTTATATTATTATTATTTGTCCCTCGGGTTCCTAGTGGAACATACTGCTTCAGTAGCACGTATCCATTCCACTCTCTTCTCTCAAATCTTTTCAACCTGGCTCCACGACAGCCCACAACCTCTCATTTAATCCTCACACCATCTCCTCCATGTCACCCTCACCTCGAACGCCCAACTCGTTGCTTCCTATCTGGCTTCCACTAGAGGACCTGATGCGTGATGTCCCCAGTCAGCCTTCTCAGTGTATGCCCAATCGATACCCACTTCCTTCTCATTATTATTTGCTAAGCGATAGCTTCTTGGTTGGTTCGTTGCCAGGTGAGAGTTAGTTCCCTGTTGCTTATTCTCATTATTCTGGCCATCTGATCTTCAGTAACGAGCCAGCGTAGACAGTTGTTGATGAATATCTGCAGTTTGTTGGAAATGCTTTTCGTAACACGCAAAGTTTCTGAAGCATCACATAGAAGCACTGACTGACTTGACTGACATTATTGTTGGAAATCCCGATCCTGTTCACGCTTCATGCTGAGTGCAGTGCAGTTCAGTAGATCTCCACACTGGTTTCAGGCTAATGCACGAAGGCCTGTATTGCTTTCCCCATCCTGACTGGTTTTGACATCCTCGTCTGTGCCACCTGTAGTTGAAATAGTGCTGCCCAGATAGGTGAAAGAGACCATTTCCTTCAAGTTTCTCCCGTCGATGGTGATTGCAGCTTGTTGTTGTTGCTGTTGTTGGTTGGGTATCTTCATCACCTCTGTCTTCTCTACTTCCACCTGAAGGAAGTCCCGTCTTCACTGCCCTGCCCTACCCTGCCTCTTCTGTCAACTTGCTGGTTTTCGCCTGTAGATCTTCGAGTTTGTGTGATGAGACATTAGACACAAGTCATCAGCGGCGAAATCCAAATATTCTAGGAAGGATCCTTTCCCCGGTACAGCCAGCCTATCCCCCTCTTCTCACAGCTCCTCACTGTTTGTAGTATGATCCAGTCCAGTCCACTACAATCACGAATGTCATGGGTGATAGTAGGCAACCTTGTTTCACTCCTACTCCTGTCTTCACTTCACTTCAAAAGCACCACTGAGCTTCCCATTATGAATTACTTGGCTGGTATGTGGCGTCTGCATATAACTGTTGAATGAGATTGATAAAGGTTTGTGGTACTCCGTAGTATTGAAGCAACTGCCTGCCAAATTACCTGTCAGTCAACGCTGTCAAAGGCCTTCTCAAAGTCGATGAGGTTGAGGTAAAGGATCCAGTTGACTGCCATTCCATACTCTGTTGTATGACGATGCGATGTGCAGCTTTGCAATTTGGTCCACACATGATTTGTTCTTCCTGAATCCAGCCAGCCAGCCTGTTCCACTTGTAGTTTTGAATCCAGCGCATCGCCTTAGTCTCTCCAGGATGATGCGGTCTAATATTTTGCTTGCTTTGGGTGTACAGGAGAGTGATTCCTCGCCAGTTCTTGCAAACATTTAAGTCTCCGTTCTTCGGGAGTTTGACAAGGTAACCCTTCTTCTTCTTCCAATCAGTTGGCAGGTACCTTTCCTTCCTCCCACACCTTCTGCAATAGTGGTGTGGTGTGAGCATGTCTGCTGTTGTTCATTTTCCCTGCGTCTGTTGCCTGTGCTTCTGGTGGGATTCCATCTGGTCCTGCTACTTTCCCACATTTCAGTAGCTTTATGGCTTTCAGGACTTCGACATTTGTTGGAGGACCTGTGTTCACTTGTAGTTCTGTGACTGGGATGATGGTGGTATTTGTGGACGAAGTGCAGGTGGTGGTGGTCGATTCAAGAGCTTTATGAAGTGGTCGACGCATCGTTTCCTTTGTTTCTCTTCTCTGGCAATTAAATCTCCTTCATCATCTTTTATTGGTTTCACCTGTGCTGTGATGATCTCTTCCCAGATAGTAACTTGGTTATTTGATACAATGTTGTCAGTTCTCTGTCTGTCCTACCAGCAGCCTGTTCTGCTTCACTTGCCAGTGTTTCGTAGAAGTGTCTTTTGTCTTTCCGCGCATTCTTCTTCACTTCTTTGTCCAGCGTTGTCTTTTATAGGTTGTGTTCAGTTCCTCTTCTCGTCGTTTATCCTTGCACTGGTTTATCTTCTGATTCACCATCACCATCATCCTCACCATTCTCTATCAGCTTCCATGTGTCCATCGAGATCCATTCCATCCCTCATCTTCTTTCTTCTTCCTTCCTAATACGGTTATGCAAATTTCTTTCGATGAGTGTCTTCGGTTTGTTGCAAATGTTTCTCGCAACGTAATGATATCATCTTATTTCGCAAGTTCCTCATCAGCTGCTTACAACCTGAAACACCTAAATGTCATATCATGACAGAATTTCAGCATACGCTTTCCAGTTAATCGAAGTTGCTTGATGGGAATCGATATGATATTTTAAGCAATGGAAACTTCCGACCGGTTGTAAAGCGTACATTGACTAGCCACTAACTGAATTCTCTCAACCACTCAACGATGTGACCACCTAACTGGAAGGCTTAGCATAGATGTGAATAGAGGCAGATGTTAGTTGGTTGGAGGCAATCGGTAAGAAACCCTGAGTGACATGCGTTACGTGCTTCTTGGAATTCGCCAGTGAGGCCTACCTATCTGCACTCTCGATAGAACCAATGTCCCATTTGAGATTCGAACTCGCGTTACTCAATGTTGTAGTTAGTGACGTTACCACTAAGCTATTCGGGCCATGATTGACATTTAGCAGGAATGACTAGATTAGATACATTGATTGATCACTGGTAACACCAACCAATTTCATGTTATCTAGTCGTCACTGATGACTGAATTCTAGTGATCATCTGGGTACTGAGGAGAATAGGCTAGTTGTTGAAAAGTAACCCAGAAATTATGTAGTAATGTAATGAGTTCAAGACAATTGGTTAAAAATGATCACCTAGGTTAGGCGTTCGAATCTCAATTCACCTAATAAAATCTAAGTAGTCACACAAAAGTATTTACCCTATTGCTTAATGTATGAACATGCATGAGTGTATTTCGTTTCGTTTCACTGAAAAAATATGCCACGTGAAAATATTCTCGATCTTTGGGAGGTTCCCTTCCCTCTATAGAGGATAGGCTTTTATTTTGCACCAGGATGTTGTGCTCATTAGCTTAGTAACCAACCTGTATTCCGTAATATAAATCAAGTAGGTAGATAGATAGACAAGCAAACAGATAGACACACATATGCACACAACTAAAACAAACAACACTTTATTTCTCTCAAAGTAGTCTTCATTATGAATTGATATGGGTTACAGGATCATCGACAATCAAGAGGGAGTGTTTCATCCCTAGCATAGGACTCTTCAGAAGTCCACACCCCCTGATGAATCGAGCTCGCAGTGATTAATCCCCACAAAAACAGAGAGAGAGAGACAGACAACATTGCCATTCAATCACTGAGTTAAAAGTCAGTGTCTTGATATCAATAAATCCCTAAAATCTCCTATAGAAACTATTCCATATTAATTATGCTTACCTTTAAGCTAAGATTAGTTGATTTCTTTTCACGTTGTATTGTTCTTCGTTTTGAACGTTTCCCACCATGAAATTTTATTCGATTTGTATGTGACTGATTTAAGACTAGTGATTTTTCAACTGATGATAACGTCATTGGATTGAAATTGTTATAATTCGATGATAATTCAACAATTTGATTATTTCTGTAATATTCTGATTGATAATTAGTTGTGTTTAAAACTGGAAAAGTCAAATTATAATCTTGTTGATAGGCATAATGTCCATGTGCTTGTAGGATATGATGATTATTATCGACTGCTAATGTTGGTGATGTCATAACATTTGCAGTTGTAGCAGTGATTGTAACTATCGTGTCTGAATGATTATCTGTTTCTGATAAACCAAATGTTTTCAATGAAGGACGATTATGATCATGTTCACCTTTTGCTTCAAAGTAAACAGCTCCATTGGCAAATCGCCAAAAATGTGTTACAGGATAACCACTATGCCCACGACAATTTCTTAGAAGTAAACGACCTTTACATCCTGGAGTTATGCATTCACGATCTAAATATTAATTTGTACCAGATTAGAGAAAAAAAATAAATGAATATCAATCAATTGATGAAAGTTGGGAAAAAAAGAGAACGATATATTGTCATCGAAACCATTGGATAGTAAACCACATGTCTTGAGACAATTTGATCATTCCAAGACTAGTCTACCAGCAAAAAGATTGTTTCACTCTAAAAACATAAGAACACCAGTTGAATAGACGTCATGGTGTTGGTATTTTAAACGGGGAACATTTATATTTAAACGTGTATAATCCTGTTGCTAACTGAACTGTACTCATCAACATTCTGTGTGCCAATGCCCTGAAATTATCACTCCTTCAACCTAACTTTCTGAATGAAAAAACCATAGGCAAACTAAGAAGTCATACACAAGTGGCAAGCAGTAAAGGTCCTTCGCTCATTTACAGTCCCTCATTGATCGACACACTCGATTTTCAACACCCATTCTGGTCACTAAACTGCTTGCAGTCACCTAGCATTATTAGACATCACTGTTAGATGAGGGAGGATACTGACAAGCTGTAGAGTCTTCTACACACCTCCACTGACTGAATGTAAGAAGATCGATCTTGTGTGTCAGACCTCCTCTGATATTCACCACCAGGCAAACCAGATGAATTCGCTTGGCCTACTGGTCATCTCACACTCTCGAGAAGTAGTAGAAAAACTCTTCACGGATTCAATTGCAAACAGATCTTGAACCACAAACACTTTGAACTGATTTACACATCTAACAACCTATCAAGGGAGAAGTGTCAATCACACAATCAAAGGTACCTCCAAGACTCGTAATCATACCCAACCATCCACATTGTGAAAACTTCCATCGGCACACCGAAATACAAGTCATACAGATGAAAAAACAAACAGAAATAATGAGGAGATAATGGGGAGATGAGCTGAAATACAAAGTCGATTTCCGTCGTCCTGCTGACTCCTAAAGAAAACCAACACTTAAAGAAAGACTTCACAAATTGTTGTCACGTTCTATTTCGACCACCTCTATACTTATTCACCTCGGAACCTATTCAACACAAAAACCTGTCACACTCACCTCACTCGATGAAGGTTGACGACAACATCACATGATTCACCTCCTTTACTTTATACACCCACACTCTGAACTTCACATTACCAAGGGGATTAACTCCACCAAAATCACCTCAGACATATTCCACAACCCTGTGAATTGACTGTTGAGAGTGGACGTTGTGACAAGCTTGAATATGTTCAATGCTGCCTGTCTCCAGACCTCTCCTCTCAAGTTGGATGTGTCATGAAATGAATTCAACCCAACCACATGAGTGTATCACATTGACCGTGACGAAGTCTAAGGTCTCTCAAATCGACTTCGATAAAAAATACAGGACTTCTGATGTCTTGAAACGAGATGAAACAATCAGTTATTCACCGATTCCTCGTGTTCTATTCATCCATCTGTCTAAGCTGATCCAAGATTCTGTAGTGGGGAGTATCTTGAGAAGTGTTGAATTTGATAAGTGAGCAAGTAATCTGCTGGGGAACTACTGTTTCGTTCTAGTCTGGAACTCAACAATCGTCTACATCCCACCTCTGCAATGAACATGATGAGCAGTTTGTCATTCTACCGCGAAACTAGTATTTAACGATCCGTATGTGCCTACTCATGTAAACTGAAGAAGGAATGCTGCTGATGGGTCTCAGGCTAGGGCGAAACAAGTATACGGTGCTAAATGGGCGAATAAATGATAAGAACTGCTCTTAACCTCTTCACTCCCCTACGAACTATTGAAATGGATAAACAAACTGATCTTTTTAAGAAGGAATATGCTGAAAACATCTCTGAAGTAAAAAACATTGATCTCCAAAGAGCACCCTTTTCATAAATTCTCATCATATCTGTACTGCTGTTTGTCTATTTTTTTAATACTAATATGAGTTGGGTTAGATATCTCAAAAACCCTTATCATGACTCTTCAAAGCAGTAACCTTCGTTTTAACGGCTAGTTGATGTACCGACTAAGCCAAAATATCTAACTCCTCACTTCATCATCACTTCAAGTGCCGAGGATTTTTTTCGTCCCTCATGTAACCGTAAGACAGGCAAGCAGTGGAATTCAGGACGTGCGTTTCGTCCAGTTTGGGATTCATCTGCTGGACGTACTTGTCTCCTAGTGAGTGATGTTGTTCCTGTTAAGAGTCGAAGCTAGCACCGGTCGATTTGAACGGCATGGCGTTATCCATTAGGCATTCTGTTACCGTCTCTCTCTCTAGTCAGGTTTTCTTGTCTCTATCTAGATCAAATTGAATTTGACAACCATGACTGAGACAAAATGACTATTGAAGTTACTACCGGAGATATTCGCAGTTTAGCGGACCGATGCTGATGACCGTTAGTACCCATGAGGATACCGAAGGGATCCGGTGATGGCCATCTACCCTTATTTTCACAACAACAAGAAAATACATGACTTTTACGGTTCAACTGTTTGACGGACAGATAGGATAACGACTAATTCACTTGTAGACCCTCAGGTAATTTCATGTTTTACTAGACATAAAAAGTTTTGAAAGAGTAGAAATTATTTTACAGAAAATTACAAACAGGAGAAATTAATTTTTGTCGTTTACTTTTTTACTTTTTATCTAATTAACTAAACCGAAAAAGACGAAGTACTGTAAAGGAAATATTCAATCTCAGTCAAGTTGAAGATATATACTCTCTTTTTCCCTCCCCTCCCATCTACCAAGCCATTGTGACACATTCCTTCCGCCTCTTCTCTTACATTCAATAATAATAAACAGAATATAATCCAAAATAACCAGCTCGATAATGGGACGTGATTTTTCCTTGTTTTAATTCAAAGTAATTACCTTTTTTCCTAATTGAGATCCCTCCAACCCCCCTCCCACTCTCTCTCCCTCTCTCTCTTTCTATACCTAACCAATTTGAAATATACAAACATTTTTATGTCGATAATAATTCTACTATTGGGAAGATAATGTGAATAAAAATGTAGATTTCCAAACCCCTCTCCCTTTGATAGGTTTCAAAATGTATTGTGGGTGTGGGTGTGGGTGTGGGTGTGTGTGTGCGTATGTATGTTCTACGGAGGTGGCGACCATGTATTATGCGTCTACTACATAATTAAACAATTACACAGAATATTTATGAGATGTGCGTGAATTTCGTACAAAAATATATTTATTTGCAGCTAAATAATTTTTATTTTACGGTTATACAGATTATTTTCTTTATAACTTGTCTTACATTTGTTTCGGTGAATCAATACAATGGTTATCGTTCAATTGCAGTAATAATAATAATAATAATAATAATAATAATAATAATAATAATAATAACGTATGGTCAAGAACTGTAGTCAATGGAACTAGTAGCTAACAATAGAATCCAGGATGTGCGTTTCGTCCGATTTGGGACTTGTCAGATGGATCTACTTGCGATGTTTCTTGCACTAGGGCTCGAACCATGGCCGGTCTCTTCGGACGACACAGCGTTATCCCTTAGATGACGAGTACCCTGTAGTTTTGTAGCTTGTAAATCTAACGAGGTATCTGCACACAGGAACCAATGTACCAATAATAGTCGGATCACTTCGGTCCAATCAATAAGGAAGATTCACAAGGTGCAAAATCAGAATTTTAGTCAGTAAAAAAAGTCGAATTTCTTGAGAAAATTGGAGATTTTGACCAATCGTTGATGAGGTGAATGTTCGCTCATGAAAAAACTATAAGGTTACATGCGTTGTTTTGTATTCTCATTGTAACAGATGGACTGCCGAGGAATTTCATACTGTCTGGAAATAACTGTTCAGTACATTTCATGTGGATTTCGCCAATTACTGCCACCGCTGATGTCCTCATACGCGATGCATGATGTAACTGTTGAATGTAAGGTTGATGAAATTATAAGCCACAGTCTCACTTTCACAGCCTGTTAAATAAGACGTGCGACTGCCTCAGACCTCAGGAATCCACTACTTCATACTAAATGGTAAGTCTGTTGAGCCAAGACGCTGCTTTCGCCTTAGGTGAGACTCATCAGCAGAATCCGGATACTTTTATCTGCATTCTGAGGATTGAATACAATGCTCTTCAGTTCAAACCATGTCCGGGATAGATCATTGGTGATGTTGCTTACTGCAGAACTAGTTGATGCTTGTTCACATCACACAGAAGACATGAGTCTTTTCAAGGATACATATACACCTCCCTGATGGATGCCAACAGCCAGGGCATCCTGCCGACTGTCACAAACCAACCAGCAGTTTTATCTGTTAGGTTGGTGGATTTTACTATCAACCATCTGAATAACCGCCCGTTCTGATCCTGGACAAACAACTTATGTGCACAAATGAGCCTATCTATAGTCAAGTGACTATAAATCAAGAAGTGTGTAAACGCTGGAAAGTACGTTACCCACCTAACGGCTTTGTACTCCAACTTTTATGACTATGTTGGAACATAGGATCAGATGTCGGGTAAGGTGTACACACCAAGCGAAATCATTCAAAGACACTTAGTTTTTCCGTTCAAAGGTGACGGATGGCTTACAGTCCTGTCAGAAGTGACCTGGAGTCTTCTGTATGCCTAAAGTGACAGTTTACGAATGTTTGGACTGCGTTTGTCATCATACAGATGTGATTTGTTACATCAGAACTGATCGTTGTTGGTGTCTATACCTGAAGATAAGAAGTGAATCGGTTAGGTACGTTGACTACACCACTTACGTGTAAGGTAGAATGAACCGTAGTGAATTGGCAACCATGAAATCTCGATAAAAAGACGAAAGGTTCACCTGGCCTTTGCCAAGCTCTGTCAGTAGCTGTGTTAATGAGATATCTGACTGCCTACCAAGGGCTGAGTGTACCGCGCGACAGTCTGCCCTGTCGTGCTCAACGGGTGTATAACTTGGTATCTAGCGTGGGGGCAAGAGAGGGCTACTAGAGCTTTATAGAAGCTTTCATCATAGATTCACGTTGCCTCGTCCTGATTCAAGACTCATCAGCAGCATTCCTTCTTCAGTTTACATGAGTAGGCACATACGGATCGTTAAATACTAGTCTCGCGGTAGAATGACAAACTGCTCATCATGTTCATTGCAGAGATGGGATGTAGACGATTGTTGAGTTCCAGACTAGAACGAAACAGTAGTTCCCCAGCAGATTACTTGCTCACTTATCAAATTCAACACTTCTCAAGATACTCCCCACTACAGAATCTTGGATCAGCTTAGACAGATGGATGAATAGAACACGAGGAATCGGTGAATAACTGATTGTTTCATCTCGTTTCAAGACATCAGAAGTCCTGTATTTTTTATCGAAGTCGATTTGAGAGACCTTAGACTTCGTCACGGTCAATGTGATACACTCATGTGGTTGGGTTGAATTCATTTCATGACACATCCAACTTGAGAGGAGAGGTCTGGAGACAGGCAGCATTGAACATATTCAAGCTTGTCACAACGTCCACTCTCAACAGTCAATTCACAGGGTTGTGGAATATGTCTGAGGTGATTTTGGTGGAGTTAATCCCCTTGGTAATGTGAAGTTCAGAGTGTGGGTGTATAAAGTAAAGGAGGTGAATCATGTGATGTTGTCGTCAACCTTCATCGAGTGAGGTGAGTGTGACAGGTTTTTGTGTTGAATAGGTTCCGAGGTGAATAAGTATAGAGGTGGTCGAAATAGAACGTGACAACAATTTGTGAAGTCTTTCTTTAAGTGTTGGTTTTCTTTAGGAGTCAGCAGGACGACGGAAATCGACTTTGTATTTCAGCTCATCTCCCCATTATCTCCTCATTATTTCTGTTTGTTTTTTCATCTGTATGACTTGTATTTCGGTGTGCCGATGGAAGTTTTCACAATGTGGATGGTTGGGTATGATTACGAGTCTTGGAGGTACCTTTGATTGTGTGATTGACACTTCTCCCTTGATAGGTTGTTAGATGTGTAAATCAGTTCAAAGTGTTTGTGGTTCAAGATCTGTTTGCAATTGAATCCGTGAAGAGTTTTTCTACTACTTCTCGAGAGTGTGAGATGACCAGTAGGCCAAGCGAATTCATCTGGTTTGCCTGGTGGTGAATATCAGAGGAGGTCTGACACACAAGATCGATCTTCTTACATTCAGTCAGTGGAGGTGTGTAGAAGACTCTACAGCTTGTCAGTATCCTCCCTCATCTAACAGTGATGTCTAATAATGCTAGGTGACTGCAAGCAGTTTAGTGACCAGAATGGGTGTTGAAAATCGAGTGTGTCGATCAATGAGGGACTGTAAATGAGCGAAGGACCTTTACTGCTTGCCACTTGTGTACGACTTCTTAGTTTTGGGTAAGGTTTTTTCATTTGTGGTGATTGTAAGTATGACTCAAGTTTGTGAGCGATGCAGAAATTTGAGTGAGTTTGAGAAATTAATATTTCCATCATGTAGCTGATTCGAATCCCGGTTCTTCGGATTCTTGGTGCACAGAACATTCGCTGAATACTTCATGAAAATTATGGATAGTGAAGCCATCCAGGTGGTGAATTTCATCCTGTTTATGACTCATCAGTTATCGATGTTATTTTTGGAGGCACTCGCATCCTACTGACAAGTCAATACAGACCGAAACACTCGCCCTTGATTCCACTACTAGCCACTGTCTTTGATTGCAATCAAAGACAGACAGTATCGAGGCATCTGCATCAAGGATCCCGATGAATTTAATTAAACCAGCGACGGGATTATATAAGTGCCAACATAAGTATTTTGGATATGTTTATTTCAGGGTGTGGATGTGGAAAGGATTTGAGGTGAATCATTCGATGTTGTCATGATCATTTATCCAGCGTGTTGAGTAGGTTCCGAGGTGAATAAGTATAGTGTTGGTCAGAATAAAAAAGGACAATAATTTCGAGAGGTCTTTCTTTAAGCATTGGTTTCTTTACTAGTTAGCTTGACAAAGGAATTCGACTGGTGCAAACTCTGTCACATATACCTCAGTATTGACTGCAGTGACTCGGATGCATCCACCCACATTACCTGAATCTTTATTCTCAAATCACTTTCGATCTTTCGTCTTACCCACAGTTATTCTCTTTTTCTGTAGTTTCGTCCGACTTTTCATCTTATCTCTTCGCCTCCTGATGTTGATGCACATTATGGAAGCCTGGGCTAAGTTAAAGCGTTATTACCGTCTGGCTGATTGCATCACTGTAGGATGAATTGCATAACTTCAAGGCACAATATCGTGTGTGTGTCTAAGAGACTTAATCAGGTGGACCAGTGACTGTTTACTCTTCCAGACAGTACAAGGTATACTGAATGAAGTTAAGACTGCTGGTTCAAGACCCCGCTGGACAAAGAATAAAAAGACTTTGTCAAAAGCAAATGAATGATAAGCCACAAAAACAATAAGTCAATAATTTGATGAAAGTAATCAATAAAACTTACTACATTGTTTTTTTCTAGCTTTATCACAAATAGCTGGTCGTAAACTTAACGGTTTACCTTGAACTAAACACCCCAATGAACACTCCAATACGCCTAGACAAGATTTTTTCAAGACTTGTGGATTATGATTATTTGTGTTACGCATTGCCCAACCACTTTGATGTCGACGAGCACGTTCACATGATTGGGCATAAACACGTCGACAATGTCCACTTGGCCATAGCTCATATGGATCATAATAGGTTACCTGTAAAACAGATTAGAATTAAACAGAGTTTTGATATCAAAACTGGAACGGTTGCACACACACACACACACACACATACACTATTAAGGATGATTAAATGTGTGTCGTCGGCCAAGCACTTGGCCAGCAACTTGTAGTAACCACCTTACTAACTAGATGACGACGTATTTGCCTATTTCAATTTTACAACTCAACTTCACCTAGGAATGGCCCTAATGGTGTGCACAACAGGCCATGCACTCCTACTAACCGAGGAGGGCCAAAAGTACTTTACCTCCTTGGCTGCGATAGCGTTGAATGGCAGGCCTAGGTAGTCCCGCTAAAGCTGGCCCACCTCACACTCACCACTTGAATAATACAAACCACTCCTCTCACCTTGGTTAGTGAGATGGTAACCAGGTGTTCCAGTCATTCAGGTTCAGGAGTCACTCGACGACTGCTCCCCAAGACCCATTCCCCAGCTAGGGGAAATGATAAACGCTTCATCGCACTGAGCATTCTGTAGCAAGCGTTAGTGCAGTTACCAGGGTGGACCTCATCACTGACCTACAACCCATATCAGAAAAATAGGCAAACAAGCCGACCAACCAGGTCCTACTCAGAGGAGGCAACAGGCATATAGCCACACCTTCATCATGCCTTGCATGCATTTGCACACTTTTCCAGGCGTATTTATGAACATCTGAGTAGTCCTGCTACTAACCATACCAAGTAGGTTTCTGCTGTTCAAAACATTAGCACTAGATGGAAAGACGGCAAGTTGGTACGAAGGTTGATATCTGCTTATCTGCAGGAACCACAAGAAGGTCCACCGTCTTTCAATTAAGCTCGAAATATCTTAGTCTTCAGGGTCACCAGCGAGCTAGCCATCCAAAGGAGGACAGACAGGCATGCGCCGCTAGCTAGGCATTCATACATGGCACTCATTAAATGACGTGGCATATTGCTGCTCTAAGAGAGTCGTAGTTACTTCATCGCTTGCCACCAGTTTCATGTATTAACTGAATCCTGGGAGACTAAGAGACTAAGTCCTATTGTGCACTTTGATTGATGCTTGTTGGTTGAAGGCAAAGAGCAAAAAGTCTCACGCTCCGTCTAATTTGATTTTGTACCTACTGACACTCATAATAGTAAGGTGTATCTACAGCTTGAAGGGAACTGATATCCCCTAGAACTCACGTCACCCACTGAAGCAATTAGCCACTTCAGAAATGGATTATCTAAACCACGATGCACCTCCCGAAAGACTAGACCTGAAAGCTTTTCGTACAAAAGCGAAAAGTGAACAGTTTACGCCTTAGTAAGTGAAGTGGGATTCGAACCCATGATTTCAACTGGTTTAAATTTGAGTGCTTTGATCAATCAGTTAAAAATTCGTAGCGTGGATCCTGTAAAAAGTGATCTGTTTCGAAATAGATTTGGTCAAGGAATGACGTCAACTAGAAAAGCTTGAAAACTCAGGTCGGCGATCTCTCTCTAGTCAAATAAATCGATGATACCGGATGATGTGGTCACGAACAAATAAAAGCTGTAGGAAGCGGGCCCTTAGATCTGATCTAGCGGTAATATGCTTACCACGAGATCGGACGGTTTTCACCTTGGACCTTCATAAGGTGGGTAGGGGGTGCATACTACTCATAAGTGTGAGTAGTTATTAGCTATTCATTCTATTCAGTTGTATACTTCGCTAAATAATGAGACCACCTGAAATTTGTCAGTATATTTCAGTAAAGAAGTGTAAAAAAGGATGTACAATAGTTTTCACCGGCAGCTTCCAATTACGTAATACAAACTGCTGACTTAAGCGTTAAAGACTATCAGTGAATAGGATACTGACAGGGATTTCAAAGCAGCAGCCAATTAAGGCATGTTTACAAGCTTGAAAGCAATTAACAAACATTTCAGTCTGACATTGGGACTCCTCACTAGTGCTCATCGACCACTAAACTGCTTGGTGGATTGAACCCAAAACAGTCACAAGTCACGTTACCGGGAGTAACTATAATTCTCTTAAGGCACCCAAAAGCCATTCTATGGTCAAGTGTTTTAACCAATTGAAAGACGGTCTCATCAGTTGTTGCATCAGCTGACAATGAATTGTTCGGGAGTAAGATGAGAAAAGCCGTAAGCTGTTCAACTGAATATTAGACACTGTTAATTTTCACGCCATCTAAGTAGACTGGATTTTATTTTTGGAGGAAACACCCCATTTCAGCATCATTTCGATTTTGTAACTTAAGTCAGTTAGAGAACCACTGACAACTAAGTGACTACCTCATCCTGGTTTGTATAACTTCTCAGTAGACTGAAAGCCCTGGTCTCGATCCCTAGCGAGGCGGGTTCATGGGTACATGTGACTGAGGAGTCCTGTACAAGAACGAAGTGACTATAGGGTACCCCCAGGCTTTCAGTGGTTCTCCAACTTATTTCACTCCTTGATGAATATAAACTTGAAGACTACACTCATATGATCTAATTCAAGACAGCCACACCCAGTAATGTATGTATGTTGTCATCTACTGTCCATTCACGGACAAACCTCTTCATGCCAAACTTGGTTAAGACTTACAATTTCAGTTACATCTTGAAGTCAGTCACTAGTGTAATGAATAATAAATTATTGCTCATATGTAAATGGGAATGGAAGGAGTTTATTGATTTTTGGGAGGTGGTTTCTTACTCTGAACAGCAGTTGACTGGAGCGCAAGTAATATTCGAAGTTGAGGTGAACTCAGCAACTATTTTAACTTTTGCCACACTTATTTTAATCTCAAGTCTAATGTTACCACCTGGTTATCGAAATCTCTGTACGTGGAGGTGGGTTCAGACCCGTCACCCATCGATCAAAAACCAAGGCGCCGTGAATGTCAGTGCTTATCGGCAGCTAGAATTTATTTCAAAATAAGGATCTTCATCCCTGACTTGGCATAAAGTACCATTGCTAGCGAGGACATACAAAGTCCTAATGACAAGCTAGGGGGCATAGTAGGATCGAAAAAGTTAGTTACTGAGGTTGAGTGAACGATGTGTGTATGCATATGTGTCTGTGCTTAAGTCCTAGAGGGAGGGAGACAGATCAAAGTAGAACTTAACACAGAAGTGGATCGATTCAACTTGGCATACATTACAACGGCATACAGAAAGAAAACACCAGTAATCGCTAACCAATCGTTTTTAGCCTTTTAGGACTCCATCCAGGCAGCTTACACTAGTCACATGCTTCGAGCTGGATATCTCGAAGTTCTATTGAGAAACAGTGACTTATGGGGTTAACCAGTCGGAAGTGAAGCAGATGCCAAGTGAAGACCTTAGTGGATAGTCGTGCTATATCGTGCGAATTGACAGAAGTCAGAAACTGTGGGCCATCGAACTTTGACCCAGTGACTGAATTATTAACGCATTCGGCGTGAAACCTAAACGTCCTGGTTTCTATCGCTGGCTGGGTGGTGGGTGGGCGCTGCTGACGATTCACATACTAGGACGAAACAACCGTAAATTTCTTTGAAGGAGGTGCTAGATATCCGTAGGTGACAAGGTGTTCAAGAATAAAACTATTGCTATTTCTCTCTCCCTCTCTCCTCTCGATAACCAACCTTGACAATGTTCCAAAATACATTTGCCGACTTCAGAAGCTTCGCACAGCCGATGTACATTACTCCATAGGAACAAGTAAACTGATAGATACATACTGAGGTGGTCCCTAACGCCATTAATGGATTAACTGTCTACTGGATAGTGTGTGAAGCATCTTGTTCAATGATTGTGAGAGTCACCTTTTCAAGATTGCACCAACAATATTCCCTTTGAATTCCAGGTTCACTAAATACAGAGCTCTGTTTCAGATGGTTGGTTACTTTTGTATCTGTGACTTTTCTTCCGTAATGGAGTCGATGAGTCTACGCTGGTATCGATTTTCAAGAAGGATGCCAAAAAGAAATAATTTTAACCCACCGTTCAGTGTATCCCCAGAACAGGTCCTTCGAATCCCTTAACTAAATGGAAGTACACCGTTCAATCTGCTGCTTAGGGGGGACACCCATTTTCTCGTGCCAATCTTGTCTTCTCATCATACAGCAATCTTCTCGGCAATAAACTAATTCTTTCCAATCCACTTTGTTCCAGTTCCTAAATCCATTGAAACGGTTGGTGCGTGAATTAATGGTTTACATTGTTGATTTTCACAAGCAGTGGGTCTCTGGTTTGGATCCACCTTTACCAAACAAAGATTTAACCCTCATACAATAGATATGGTTGATTGCCTACTGTGAGAACGTTTAACAGGTTGTCAAGTGGATTTCAAGTCTTGGAGATGACAGAAATATTGTGTATCTACTTGAATAGTGAAAGAAAAATGGTCGCAGAGAAATTAAATTATTATTATTTGTTCCTCGGGTTCCTAGTGGAACATACTGCTTCAGTAGCACGTATCCATTCCACTCTCTTCTCTCAAATCTTTTCAACCTGGCTACACAACAGCCCACAACCTCTCATTCCCTCCTCACACCATCTCCTCCATGTCACCCTCACCTCGAACGCCCAACTCGTTGCTTCCTATCTGGCTTCCACTAGAGGACCTGATGCGTGATGTCCCCAGTCAGCCTTCTCAGTGTATGCCCAATCGATACCCACTTCCTTCTCATTATTATTTGCTAAGCGATAGCTTCTTGGTTGGTTCGTTGCCAGGTGAGAGTTAGTTCCCTGTTGCTTATTCTCATTATTCTGGCCATCTGATCTTCAGTAACGAGCCAGCGTAGACAGTTGTTGATGAATATCTGCAGTTTGTTGGAAATGCTTTTCGTAACACGCAAAGTTTCTGAAGCATCACATAGAAGCACTGACTGACTTGACTGACATTATTGTTGGAAATCCCGATCCTGTTCACGCTTCATGCTGAGTGCAGTGCAGTTCAGTAGATCTCCACACTGGTTTCAGGCTAATGCACGAAGGCCTGTATTGCTTTCCCCATCCTGACTGGTTTTGACATCCTCGTCTGTGCCACCTGTAGTTGAAATAGTGCTGCCCAGATAGGTGAAAGAGACCATTTCCTTCAAGTTTCTCCCGTCGATGGTGATTGCAGCTTGTTGTTGTTGTTGTTGTTGGTTGGGTATCTTCATCACCTCTGTCTTCTCTACTTCCACCTGAAGGAAGTCCCGTCTTCACTGCCCTGCCCTACCCTGCCTCTTCTGTCAACTTGCTGGTTTTCGCCTGTAGATCTTCGAGTTTGTGTGATGAGACATTAGACACAAGTCATCAGCGGCGAAATCCAAATATTCTAGGAAGGATCCTTTCCCCGGTACAGCCAGCCTATCCCCCTCTTCTCACAGCTCCTCACTGTTTGTAGTATGATCCAGTCCAGTCCACTACAATCACGAATGTCATGGGTGATAGTAGGCAACCTTGTTTCACTCCTACTCCTGTCTTCACTTCACTTCAAAAGCACCACTGAGCTTCCCATTATGAATTACTTGGCTGGTACGTGGTGTCTTCATATAACTGTTGAATGAGATTGATAAAGGTTTGTGGTATTCAGTAGTGTTGAAGCAACTGCCTGCCAAATTACTTCTCGGTCAACGCTGTCAAAGGCCTTCTCAAAGTCGATGAGGTTGAGGTAAAGGATCCAGTTGACTGCCATTCCATACTCTGTTGTATGACGATGCGATGTGCAGCTTTGCAATTTGGTCCACACATGATTTGTTCTTCCTGAATCCAGCCAGCCAGCCTGTTCCACTTGTAGTTTTGAATCCAGCGCATCGCCTTAGTCTCTCCAGGATGATGCGGTCTAATATTTTGCTTGCTTTGGGTGTACAGGAGAGTGATTCCTCGCCAGTTCTTGCAAACATTTAAGTCTCCGTTCTTCGGGAGTTTGACAAGGTAACCCTTCTTCTTCTTCCAATCAGTTGGCAGGTACCTTTCCTTCCTCCCACACCTTCTGCAATAGTGGTGTGGTGTGAGCATGTCTGCTGTTGTTCATTTCCCTGCGTCTGTTGCCTGTGCTTCTGGTGGGATTCCATCTGGTCCTGCTACTTTCCCACATTTCAGTAGTTTTATGGCATTCAGGACTTCGACTTTTGTTGGAGGACCTGTGTTCACTTGTAGTTCTGTGACTGGGATGATGGTGGTATTTGTGGACGAAGTGCAGGTGGTGGTGGTCGAATCAAGAGCTTTATGAAGTGGTCGACGCATCGTTTCCTTTGTTTCTCTTCTCTGGCAATTAAATCTCCTTCATCATCTTTTATTGGTTTCATCTGTGCTGTGATGATCTCTTCTCACATAGCAACCTGGTTATTTGATACAATGTTGTCAAATCTCTCCTACCAGCAGCCTGTTCTGCTTCACTTGCCAGTGTTTCGTAGAAGTGTCTTTTGTCTTTCCGCGCATTCTTCTTCACTTCTTTGTCCAGCGTTGTGTTTTATGGGTTGTGTTCAGTTCCTCTTCTCGTCATTTATCCTTGCACTGGTTTATCTTCTGCCTCACCATCACCATCATCCTCACCATTCTCTATCAGCTTCCATGTGTCCGTCAGATCCATTCCATCCCTCATCTTCTTTCTTCTTCCTTCCTAATACGGTTATGCAAATTTCTTTCGATGAATGTCTTTGGTTTGTTGCAAATGTTTCTCGCAACGTAATGGTATCATCTTATTTCGCAAGTTCCTCATCAGCTGCCCACAACCTGAAACACCTAAATGTCATATCATGACAGAATTTCAGCACACGTTTTCCAGTTAATCGAAGTTGCCTATGGGAATCGATATGATATTTTAAGCAATGGAAACTTCCGACGGTTGTAAAGCGTACATTGACTAGCCACTAACTGAATTCTCTCAACCACTCAACGATGTGACCACCTAACTGGAAGGCTTAGCATAGATGTGAATAGAGGCAGATGTTAGTTGGTTGGAGGCAATCGGTAAGAAACCCTGAGTGACATGCGTTACGTGCTTCTTGGAATTCGCCAGTGAGGCCTACCTATCTGCACTCTCGATAGAACCAATGTCCCATTTGAGACTCGAACTGGCGTTACTCAGTGTTGTAGTTAGTGACGTTACCACTAAGCTATTCGGGCCATGATTGACATTTAGCAGGAATGACTAGATTAGATACATTGATTGATCACTGGTAACACCAACCAATTTCATGTTATCTAGTCGTCACTGGTGACTGAATTCTAGTGATCATCTGGGTACTGAGGAGAATAGGCTAGTTGTTGAAAAGTAACCCAGAAATTATGTAGTAATGTAATGAGTTCAAGACAGTTGGTTACAAATTATCATAAAAGTTCCGTAGAAATATAATAAGGTTTAATCAAGTGATGACGTCATCGGATATGAAGGATAGTGAAAAATTTCGGTTAACCACGTTGTTGAGTACATAATTCCAGAAGTTTCAGTCATTTAATTGTTACAGCCTTAACAAGACTCACATTACTCTGCTTGTTGATTACCTTGAAGAATTTCAAGGTGTCGACTTCATGTCTCATATTGATGCCTAGCGAATACAGTACTGAGAAAACACGGACGCATTTCTCTGGGTTTTCCCTAAGTAATATGTTTCCAGTGATAAACAGCTGATGAGGAAGTGACGAAATAAAAGTATCTCATATCATTCTCCTCCAGTCATGAATCTTTTTTTCATAAGTCAAAATTTTCCACCATCAACTGATCTGTTACTGGACTGCATAGATCCAATTCATGATTAGATTACATACAGATTACAAAAACAACATTCACGCACACACACACACACACACACACACACACCTACACAAATATCAGACTTACTTTAGGCAGTCTCAAATCTTTTATATCCCATAAATGACATTGAACAATCTGACCAGAATCTTCATTCAAATTATTTGATGATAATTCACTCGTCTCAATATCATTATTATCTTCACTGATATTCTTGTGATTATTATTCACTGGGATATTATTCTCGCCTGAATCATCAAATGTGTATTGATTAGTTTGATTTGAATGAGTCACGTGACTCACCAAGTAATTTGAATCTGTTTGAATTGCAGGCAAAAAATCAATATTATTATCATTACTATTCGTGGTAGTAGTCGTAGTAGTAGTATCAGTACTCGTAGTATAATAGATATTCAAATTTGAATTTTGAAAATTTGTGTGATATTGGTCAACTCGATATGGGGGAGGGGTAGTAGTAGTAGTAGTAGTAGCAGTATTGAGTGATGGTAAAATGGGTTCAACCTTGTTCAATACATCTGTTTGATAGTAGTGGTAATAGTAATGATAGTAATACGTTGATACTGGATTCTCAGAGTTATTTTTTGTAATATTGTCAATATCATTACTGCAGTATGCTGACTTGTTGACTGATTCGATAGATGGTAAGTGTATTTCACGAGTAATTGGGAAATTATTCAAGTACACCGTGTTTTCATAGTCACCTTGATTTGTATCATACGATTTGTTCAAATAATGATATGCGGGTCTACCCAGATGTGTACTGGTGTTTAGCATTTCACTAGTTTTTGTGGTTGTCACCACACTGGCTGGAGTCAGTGTTAGCATTGAAGTACTAATTGGTGTAGTTTGCAGTGTACTTTGATCTAGGCATGCGGGTATTGGATTATTAGGTGAATAATGTAAATCAAAGGTGTTACCATTATTATTATTATTATTACAACTTATATCGATATCAGAAATTGCCCAATTCCAAGTCTCTGACATGTTAAAATGGTTTTCTGGTGAAAATGTGCTGGCACCCAGCATTCTTCTTCTTCGTATTATTTCTATGGCTTCTTTTCTAGGTTAGAAGAGAAAAAACTAGGCAAGCAAACAAACATTTTTGCCTTTTTGTCCAAATAAGTGAAGTCAGATTTTTGTGCTGTGGACATTGGTATGGTGGACAAATACGGGTTGTAACTGTAGACAAAAATTATGGACAAAATTGACCAATGAGAAGAAAGGCCAAGTCGACAAGGGGCAGAGGTTGTAAGATATTAGCTGAAATTCTGCATTATTTGATTGGTTAATAGGTTGTATGTGTAAATTAGCAAATCGGATAACTGAAACTTGACCGCACTAAATCTAATTAACCAATTAAAGTGGACTTCAGAGAAGAGAATATTTTTTCCTGGATCTTATGCTAAATAAACGCGTATAATCAATCCATTACTGTTACTAGCTAAAAATTACTTCACTCTAGTTCTATTATACAAATACAGGCGAATCCTGAAGTAGTTTTAACCTCTCATCAAGATAAAGAAGTTTAGTTAAATTGTTTATTGATCATTTCAACAGCATTTTCGATTTAAAAGTCATGTTCCATGGAGCAACTTTAAATGCCGCCCTGGCAACTCTTGCTATATTTTATAAAAAGATTACCTTTCTAGACGAAATACCTAAACTTGACTGGTTATTCCTACGGTTGCTAGGACGGCCTTTCAAGTCGTCCAACTGCCTTCCCAGCAGAGATACTGAAAGTTGATTGGCTACTTCAGTGGTTGCTAGGGTGGCCTTGAAAGTCGTCCTGTCCTGTTTTCAGGAATGACTACCAGTCAAGTCATTGCACAACGTCTTTCTTCCCGTTTCTTGTCTAAGGTGAAAAATTGCGTTCATCAGTTAAAAAAACATATTTTTTTATATTGCTAGGATAGAATTATATTTCACTGTAATATAATTAGTTGAGCACAGATTGGCTCGCTACCTGTGCTTAGATTGCCTTTTGGAAACCAGGTTTATTTGTTAGTTGGACGGGGGATTCAACAACAAGACAGCTTTACTCAACTTAGATTTGATGCTGGCTGTTGGCACTCGCAAGCAAGGCCTGAGATTCAAACAGGTATCGCCTAGGGATGGAGTCACGGACGTCACAACTGAGCTATTCAGGCTGCAAATTATCCCCTGTAATCACTCCATGTTGTCTAGTCGTGAGTGAAGACCGAATCCCGTGGATCATTTTCGAGTGTGGCCACTAAGCTGGGCGACGTATCATGGTGGTGCACTTTGATGGATATTAGTTGATCGCAGGAAACCTTGTTTCGTGAAATTATTGCTGTGAGAAAAGAGTTTAGGTCATCCGGTTAAAATTGGATTGTTTTGGGTTAAAATGTTGCTCAGAACTAACAGATAGACTGCAAGCGATAAGTGATGGTTTCCAGTCCCAGTGGGGTCACTATCACTCCCTGGGGTGTACTTGCATCCAACTGATGAGTCCCAAGTGGGACGAAAAACGCATCCTGGATTCCACTGCTATCCAGAAGCATTCAGATTGTTCTAGAGATGTGGCATTCGGTTTCCAACTGATGTGCCACAGGTTTGAATCCAGACTCATCTGCAGAGGTTTAAGCAGCCCGGTGGTTAGTCTTCACAAAACAGGTGTATATTGCACGAAAGTGTTCAGGACTGTTCAGTCAATTTCAATCCGAATCAAACTATAAGATTATGATTTCTTTTGTGATGGCTAGTAGTAGAATCCAGGATTCCGTGAAAGGTGTCGCTCCCACTGGGACTCGAACCCAGTGCCCGTCACTCCATACGCCAGATATCAACAAATTACATAAGGTTATGAGTGTAAATATTGAGTCAGTTATCTCAAATGAAGTTTCACTGAAGAAAATATTACCGCTGGTTCAGTCAGTTGCAGTTTCCTAGGAAGTAAGGTGATCCAGAAGTGGAATGGAGTCCTAATTTCATGAACTTGAGCCAATTAGCCCCATTTACTTCCTAGATTCAAGAAGGGAAATTGGTTGGTTATTCCGTCTCAGTTAGTTAGTCATTTTGTAAACTGATCGAGGGGATTCGTTCAACACTCAGGACTAGACGACATGAAATTGGTTGCTGTCTCCAGTGACCAGTTAATGTATCTAATCCAGTTAGTTGTACAGGAGGTCAGTCATGACCCAAGTAGCCCAGTGGTAACATCGATGACTTCAAAACTGGGTGACGCGGGTTCGTCTTATCGACGGTTGCCAACAAATACAATGCCTATGTCGAGGAAGGATTCCTGTCGATTCCCTACAACTAAGTAACAGTTGGTTCGTGTGTTAGATACATATTGTAGTGAGCCAGTATAGTTTGTTGGGTTACATATCAGATACAATTTATTGTCCATAGTCAAACAACGAATGACTTTGAAGGCCATCCTAGCAACTGACGAAACAACCAGTCACGTTCCCTATTCTATGAAAAATTGTCTTCCTGACAGAAATACTGCAACCTAATTAGTTATTTTAGCAGTTGTTAGGGTAGCCTTTAAAGTCACCCCAATAAACTGTTCCACTGGGTGAAATTCAAGGGATTTTAAAGGTCATGCAAGCAACAACTGAAATAACCAATCAACTTTCAGTATTTCGGCTGGGGCGGTAGTTATTTTTAAAATGAAGAAAAATGATGGGTTATCTCAACAGTTACTAGGGCAGCGTTTAAAGTCGTTCTTCAAGTTATTCATCTGTACTCATGATGATAGTTACTATGCTCTGATGAATGCCTGTCTATTCAACTGACTGAAAATCGAGTAAATTGAAGAGTTTAGTTAAAAAAATGTACTAACATCCTTCCCCCTGGGATTCATGGAAAAACTCCGTTTTCAATTTTTCTTAGCACAATGAAAATACGAACATAAGATGAATGATTATTATGACTATACAGATTATACATGTGATAAATATCATTATGGAAGAAGTTCGCAGCGAAGTGGTTAGATCTATTCATTACGGAAACAAAACTTGTAGTTTCCTGTCACTATACAGGGTCAAATTATTCAACCTCTTTTGGCAGATAGGTTCCTATATGGATTCATCGATACTATCTGGATATTTACTATGTTCTAGTGTAGTTGGTGTTTGAAACCATGGGTACTGAGTTCAAGTTCCAATGGGAACAATATCACTGATTGGGGTACAGGTGCATCTAGCTGATGAGTCTCAGATAGAGCGCAACATGCGTCTTAGATTCTACTGCTAGTCACTAAACAGATTACAATTAAACAGAGTGGTGTTATATCACTCGAAAGCTGGAACCTGTGAATCTCTGATAAATACCAATGTTGAGTATTATTTTAAGAAGCACTTAATTTATGACCTAATTGGTAATATTATTGTATAGCTCAATTCATGAGCTTTCGATTGACTCCATAACCATTTCAGTATGACTCACAGTTCAAAAATAATCATCGCTTGTTGAGTGAAATCAATCCATTACTGTGCAACATCTCATTTTTTATACTTGAAAATGATTGGTTGATTCATCTAAATAAATTATGGTGCGTTGTGGTCAAGTAACTTAGTTACATTATAATAGATGAACTAGGCTGCTTAGAATACATACGGACAATAAGCACCAAACTTTGTATCCTGTTGTACGTGGTCGCAGGGGACGGCCGAATTTGATGAACTCATTGTGTGCGTGGATTGAGTATAATACCAGACTAACTGGGCAAGTATATTCGAAACCAATCACTTTCAAGGTCAGCGGAAATCAAACGATCACAACCAGGCAGCCATTATAACGGATGAACTAATATACTTATTACACAAGACCATAAATTCATCTTCCATGAAATATTGACGTCAAAGACACCCGAGAAATCCTGAGAACTCGTACAATAATCCAGGGTACTTGAGTGCGGATTCTATGAGGAGAACATGTGGAATGCAGTATGACAACTGTATGCTATCCATGTACTGACAGCCCAAATGTGCAGATAGAACAACAAGTACCTGTGAAACTCTGCATCCAAACTCTTCACCACTTCAACAATGAGTGAATGAGCACTGTAGAACCCGCCATATAAATCTATGAAAATGCTAAATCTTCTCACCTAATGTGATCCACACTGGTAGGTAGAGGCAAAAGGCAGCCAATAGAGAAATTGTTTCCAGATTATGATTTATGCGTGTGCTGACTTGAAACCTGATTGGATAAATTCGACGTCATCCAACCGATCGGATTGGTTTATTTATGGCTTGATTTTCTGAGGGTTTTGTATATATACCACGTATAATACCACATCTAATAAAGTTGTTGTTCTTACAGTCACGGGTCAGTCTTTTACATGCTGACATCTCCTTGGCTCAGTTAAGCAGAGGGAACTGGGGGAGGTCGGTCACAACACACATGCTTACCGTTTTGATTACGTAACGACTGAAATGCCGATAACCCATGAGGTGATATAAATTGAGGAAAAAACTTTGCATCGATTGAATGGAATTGCAGAAAGCATCCTGTAGATGGCTTCCAATAGGATTCTTGAAAAACTCGAGGAATTCACCAATTAGTTGAGCTAGTTTAGTTGCTGATGAAAGCGAAAATGACGTTTATGTCGATGGCTACGACCTTATAAACAGAAAGTAGGACAAGCTCCGTGGAACTTCGGCTGGTCACCTATAGAGAAGAAAAACATTTACTTCACATTCCCTTCTTCTGTGTGTGTGAGAGAGAGAGGTCTGGCAACCAATTGTGGCAGATTGTGCACTGCTGCAGCTTTTCATAACTTCTCTAGCAAATATCGATCCAAGGAAAAGTTCACACATCGATGACATTACACTGAATAAAGAGGTGACGACGTATCTTGATTGTTCAGACGTTTCCTGGTTTATGTGTAAGCAGTCGTAGCAGAGATTAGTGACAGCCTTGTGCTTTCCAATGTTCAAAGTTGCTCAACTTCCTGGTTTACGAGTTATCTATCATCCGTCATAACGAAGAGCGTTACAAGAATGATTATGAGTTGACTGACGATCACCGAGATACTGTTCACAAGTAGTCGATAAAGTTTAGGGGCAAAAAGATTTGACATGACGATTTGAGGGATAACTGACTGACGAACTCAATGTAGAACTTCGCATGCTGACCAATAGTCAGGTATATCGCCACG